AGACACAAAGTATAATCAAGGAACCAACTCCACTCCTGCCCCCAACCCCCGAAAAAGAAAAATTGAAGTCTCAACCTTTAAAAATTATGAAACCAACTTTAAACAACCCAAACCAAATGGTGATATCCATACACGGAAGAAACTATATACTTTAAGGAGAAAGAGAAAAAAATTTAAAAGAAGATTTAAAAAAGAAAAGAAATCCCAAAGTGAAGCAGTATTTTGTCTTTGTAGAGGGTTTGAGGGGTTTTTCCCCTTACTAAGTTTTCTCTTCAAGAAAATCTGCACTTCCAATCTGATCAGCTCTCCAGACTGGCTTGGATGGGTTTCATTCAACCCTTTGTTCCACAGCCCTTGTCACTGCTTGAGTGATGGGGCCTATGTAGAAACCAGCACTCTCATCCACCAACTCTGTGGGCAGTCTTCAGGAAGTGGAGGGGCTTCCACAGCCTTTTCTCACTGTTTACCTGGGGCCAGGGAGGGAGCTGTTTACTCACTTGCCAGCTTAGGCCACAGGCTGGCTTTTGCGATTAGAACATGGTTCCATTGCAGTCCTTCTTTTCTGGCATTGAGCTGGGGGATAGGTCACTCACAAACACCCCCTGCTGTTCTGTGGGGTAGCTGGCTGCTGGCATGAAGTTCCTTTGTTTACTGCTTCTCTGGAGCCAGATGTACCTCCATTTGTGTCCTTTTCCATATCCTTCAAGCCTGCAGTTTTGTTTCCCTCATGTGATGTTGTGGTACAGGGGGTGGAGGAGGCACAGACCCCTGTCTGTAGCAGCAGCTCATCACTTTTTGCCAGCCTGCAGGTACTGCGTACTGCGTACTCTAAGCTGCAAGTTGTAGCCAAGTCATGCAGTGCTGTGGATCTGCAGTCCTTTAAGTGTGGATTTTGTTTCCTTTTTCTCCTGTTTTAGAAGTTTAACATTTGCTATATCTTGATTGGTACTAAACTCTGACCACTTATAATTTTCCTGACATCCTCACTTGACCTGGATTTCTTGCTAAAGCTCCATACCTGCAATTGATCAAAGGGGGTTCTGACTTTTCCCTGTCACTACTTGGCACTTTCCTAGAATCCCTGTGGTCATAATTCCTAAGTCATGTAAATAACAACATCCTCCAACCTGCCTTTCATGTCTTGACCAGTCACCTTTTCTGAGGCAACAAACTCAAACTATGTATTTCTGTCGTCGTTTTAGTTGCAGGCCACAGGAAACATTCTAGCGAGATTAAGGCTAGAAATACACTTCAGTTATGGAATAAAGAGATTACTGGGCATTAGTACATACAAAATCAGAGGAAGAAGATTACAGATAGTAAGAACCTAACTGAGGGAAAAAATGCGCTATTAAGAAGTACATGCAGCTAATGTAAGAAACAAGTTGGGAAATTGGGAAATTACTTTTTCTGTGCTTTCACTACATCAGTGCCTTACCTCATGAGATCAAACTACCTCTGAAATTACTCTGAGAAGACTTCATCTCTTTTTTTGCCCACTACCTCACCTGCTTATACTTTCAAAACCTTCCTTTTAGGAAATTTGTTCACCTGGGAATCTAGCTTTAATGGGATCGGTGGGATGTATTCTAGCTGTTCTGTTTCAGAAATACATGAATACTCTCTAGAAAGAGCAGAAGTGGGTATTCATTGAACCAGCATGCAGTAAGTCCAACATTATTTTTCAAGGCCTTACCAGTTGGGTATCATTTCTAATGTCTTCTTATCACTTGTTCAGTTTTCACTGACCTCCTCCTGCCCTCAGCTCCTGGTCCTTAGGGAAGTATCACTCATTTTAAAACATAGTTCAATATTACTTTGGATTTTTCACTTTTGTTCCATGTCTGTCTTGTTAAACTAGCAATAAATTTCTGGAGATAATGTCTTCTGCTTAAATTCTTAATTTCTAACAATATGTCCTCACTCAAACTGAGGACTTACCTAGTCCTCCTTAAATACTGGAGAGATGGTTGACTCAAATTGTTCCTTCTAGAACATATATTTCAGTTAACTATTGCTGGGTTATTACCACCATCAAAGCATAGTGGCTTAAAGCAAGTTCCTAGCTTTCTCAGTTCTGTGGACTGGCTGAATTTAGCTGGGTTACTTCTGATTTTGGATCTCTCAAAATTTTGAGAGAATCAAATTGTTTGCAGTTAGATTTAGAATTAGTGGACAGCTTCTGTACTCATATATCTGGTATCCTTAGTGTTCTTCAGCATGGTATCTCTCATCAGTGAAGTAGCCTGGATTTATTATATAATGGCTTAGGACTCAAGAAAGGAAAAACCTTGATTCCCTAACAGGCACAGCATATCATATTTGATTGTCATTAATCAAGACAGTTACAGATCAAGTCCAAATTCAAGGAGAGGAGAAACTTTGCTTCAAAGGAAAGAAATGGGGTGGGTATACAGGGAAAGAAAGTGCTGAATAGTATCCAACTTTGGAGCAAACTCTACCACATAGTTTAAACAGTGAATAATATTATATAATTACATATAATATTTTACATATATATGTATATATATTTTTATAGCCGTAGACACTAGAATTCCATGAATGTATGTATTCAGGATCAATCTCTATGCAACCTGTAGGGATAGGCAGCATCTTCCATTCTACTCTATCAGGGACATAGCAAAGACTCAGGTTTAATGGCTTGAAGTTCACAATGTCATTTTGCTCTAGCACTATGCTCTGTGTCTTAAAAAGAATACTGAACCAAAGCAGGAAAAATGAATACTTTTTATTTTTCAAAAACTTTCATTTCTGCTTCCGCACCAAGGGAAGTAATTATCCTGTACAAAGAAAAGTGAAGATTCATCTCTGTTAGTATAACTGCATTAAGAAAGACTAAGATAGCCAGAGTGCAGAACTCTTAGTCCATACATTGAACTATTTTTCTGCATCTCAAGATTTGAGTTTTCTGAGAATGTAGAGGGAATTTTATTATGCATAGAAAAAATATTGGCATAATTATATAATCAGAAAACCACATAAAACTAGAAGTCTACCATTGTCCTAGAAAATTTAAAAACTCAACTTCATTAAATTCATGCTTATATTGTCTAGGTTTCATAGTAAGAAAAAACCTGAGGGGGAGAGATTAATAATATGAATATAATATAGTATATTTGGTACCAACTCTGGAAGTGTTGGGAAAATCAGATTATTATGAGCTGGAGTAATCTGAAATCATTTTGTGGAGGAGGTAGCACTTCATTGTGGACTTGATATAAATAGAATTTGGGTAGGTAAAGAAAATATGGACACATTTGGGTATATATATCAGGAAAGGGATCCAGCATAATTGATTAAGAGTACAGATTTGGTTGAGGAGAGGTTGGAAGGATAGAAGTAGTAAGAAAAGTGACACTACTGCAGACAAAATTTGTACTAGGGAAGAAGATAAAATTTAACAAATACAAGGCACCTGTCTTCTAGACAAAATGAGAACTGAGTAAGATTAGAAAGGAAAGATACTGTTGTAGTGTGCTAAGGATGGATCAGAGGAGGAAGAGATTTTTGTAGATTGATTAAAACTTACAGTGGTAGGAATAATTATGCAGTATCATGAAAAGATAAGGTAGATGAACTTTGAGTTAGTTTGCTAAGGCTACTGTACAAAATACCACATCCTAAGTGGCTAAGAGTAGCAGAAATTAGTCTTTGACAGTTCTGAGGCCTAAAGTCTGAAATCACAGCTATCAGGGTTTACTTATTCTGACACATCTAAGGGATGGATTCTGATCCTGCCTTTAGATCCTTTTTTTCCCCTGGTAATTTTCCCATAGTGTTTGGCTGTAGCTCTTCCTGCTCCTCTTCCTCTTCTTTGTCTTCTACATGCATCACTCCCATCTTTGATCTGCACATAGCTGTATTTTTTTTCCATCTGTATATCTGTCTCTTCACATGATATTCCTTCTACAAGGAAACCAGACATAATGGGCTAGGGATGTGTCCTCCAGCATAAACTCATCTACACTAATTACATTTCCAAATAAAAGTTATGATTTTGAAATACTGGGTATTGATATTGAAGTCTTCACCATACCCTTTGGGAACAAGGACAAAATTCAAGTCACAATAGCTTTCCTTCCAGATTTTAGTTCTTAGACTAGGAACTTCAGAATTGTTGAGTGTGAACAAATGGAGAATGTGCAAGGCTGTATTAAAATCTCTGTTCTTTGGTGAGGCTTCTTTTTTACTTCAGAGTTGGGGGGTAAAGCACAGCTCCGCAAGGAGAAAATGTCCAGATTATTTGAAGACCTTTTCCTGTTTTAAGAATGTAGAAGTGTGAATTTATTTTTAATATATTTCCAGATAAATCTAGTTTTCATGATAGCCTAGCTTCTAAATCCTGGATCTCATAGAATAGCATATTATGTTCAAGATTAGTTTTATTTAGAAAGCTAGCAAGCAGATTATATGTCTCATAAAAGTTAATGAATGACTAGTCTTTATTTCTTTTTAACCATATCATATGTATATATACTTAGCTTGCCACAAAGATATATAAGATATATGTAGAAGCCAAGTGGTAGTGGCTCACACCTATAATCTTAGTAGTAAAGAGGCTGAAATCTGAGGATTGTATTTTAAAGCTAGCACAGGCAGGAAAGTCTGTGAAACTCTTATCTCCAATTAACTACCAAAAAAGCCAGAATGGAGCTGTGTCTCTCAAGTAGAAAAGCACAGGGACACCACCTAGGACCTGAATTCAAGCCCCAGGACCATCACAAAAAAAAAAAATTAAAAGAAGATATATGTAGAGTATAGAATATTTTCGTAATGTTTTTCAAGTATACTATATCATTCTAAGCTATGGAACTGTCTTCAAGAGACATTCATCTAGTTTGTAGCTTTCATCACAGGGGATATCTTGCTAATCAGAGATACCAGACAGTTCTACAGTTTTCATCAGCAGTTAGCCAACTAGTAGTAAAGAAATATGTGATGATATGCCTATTGCAACAGAGTCTTTTTTCTGCCTTCAGAATCTTCCCCAGGTGTGACAGAGGTTACAATCATAGAAAAAGCACCTGCTGAACGTCATATGATTTCTTCATGGGAACAAGTAAGTGCTGCAATGTGGAATACTTTTCTCCCAACAAAGAGAAATCAGCTTAAATGCCCCCTGAGAAGGAAAGATCAGATCAGGAAATATATTTCTGTATCTGGGCACACCTGCCTTCCATGTCATTTTCTCAGCATGAAGTATCTCCTGTGACTTCTGCTAATCCTATGGATACAGTGGATATTTGAAGTTGTATATGACAAAACTAAAAGTCCAACAGAGAATAGAAAAGAACTTGATCTATATAAATAATCAACATATGTCTAAGTGTTACAGGTAACTTAACCAGATCCATAGCTAGAACCTAATTTTTCTCTGATCATTTGGTCAGTATAACTTTTAAGCTCCTAAAATGATCCAAGTACTATGCTTGCTATTGAGCCTTGGGGATTTTTTAAATAGTAATTTTTAATAAGGCACTGTTCTTACCTGCTGATCTTGCTGTATAAGGCCAATATAGATTTTTATAAGCATAAATACAAACTGGATTAAGTAAAGAGACGTAAAGGGAAAAACATCCAGAGAAACTTTGAGAAGTTGTTAAGCAGGCAGATGGTATCTGTGTGAAGGTTTCAACATGGAAGGATTACATTATTCCAAGAACATAACGAAGGAACACAAGAGAAGGGAGCAAGAGAGAGATCAATGAGCCCTAAGACACGTAGGGCTTCATAGATTAGCAGACTGCTCTTTATCTTGGGAGCAAAAGGCAGCCAATGAATTAAGTAGGGAACTGGGAAAGTCAGTTTTCTGCTTTAAAAAAATCACTTGGTAGAGTGGCAGATGTATTTGACTAGGGGTGGCAGCTAAGAAATTACCTTGTCATTTAATAAGTGGCTTCAAACATACATGCTATTTCCTGCAAGTGAATAATAACCTTTCAGGGTGCATATTGGTATCTTTATTTTATAGATAAAGTCAGGCTTGAAGTGGTTAAGAATCTGTCTGTGTCATACAGTTACCCAGGGGCACAGAGCCTGAGTTTGAACTCTGAATGCCCTGCCTCTAAACGCATGGCTTATCTACACTACATGCTTCTGTCTAACAGAAGACAGTGCTGTGGGAGTCTTGCCCAATAGTCAGGCAGCTTATGGGCATGTGCTCAGTTCTACCAGCATGATTCTTCTCTTTGGCTCAAGCCAGTAGCAACTCAGTAAGTGGAAGTTGAGGGTTTTTTCCCAGGACTTCAGCTCATAAGCACATCTACTTTTCTCATGGCTTCTCTCAGTCCCTCTGTATTTCAGTTCATGTTAAGCTTATTTTTGTTTTTTTTTTTAAATTTTAATCAAGAAATAATTATGGGGTTCCTGTGATATTTCAATACATACATTGTAGAATGCTCAATCATACTAATTATCATATCTATCACCTCAAACCTTATTATGTGTGGTGAGAACATTTAAAATCCGCTTAGCTATTTTAAAATAGAGTACATATTGTTCATTGTGGTCACCATACTTTGCAGTAGGTAGAACACTAGTACCTCTTAAACCATTGACCAACTTCTCTCTTTCTCCCATCCATACCCTTCTACCCTCAACCTCTGTTACCCACCATTTTATTCTACATCTATGAGTTGGACTTTTGTAGATTCCACATATAAGAGAGATAACAAGGTATTTGTCTGTGCCCAGCTTATTTTCACCTTACTGAAATGTCCATATTATCCAGAGCACTGGTTTATAGATTCCACTTCATCCCCATCAAAATTACCACGTTACTTTCACAGAAATAGAAGAAACAATCCCAACACTTATATGAAACTATAAATGACTCTGAACAGCCAAAGAAATCCTGACAAAAAAAGAAGAAAACTAGAGATGTCACACAGTGAGATTTCAAAGTAAATCACAAAGCTATAGTAATCAAACAGTACGGTACTAATATTAAACAGACACATTACCCAGTGAGGTAGCTCATGCCTATAATTCTAACTATTCCAGAGGTTAAAATCTGGAGGATTATGGTTCAAAACTAGCCCAGCAAAAAGTTCATGGGACACCATTTCAGTCAATAAAAAGCTCAGGGATACATGCTTGTCATTCCATCTGTGTGAAAACAGGAAGATCCACAGTTCAGGCAGGAGGTCCTGAGTTTACCCATTCTCTAAAAAAAAAAATAGATTCATTTTTCAGTGTTGAACTCTTATAAGCTGATCCTTTTCCTATTATTTTTGTAGGTTTGTTTTGTTAACATTATTAGAAATAACACTGAAAGATGTGGCTGAGACCTGGAGCAGTGGCTCATACTTATCATCTCAGCTACCTAGGGAAGATAGATAGGAAGATCCATAGACCAAGGCTGGCCCTTGGAGTCTGAGGGAGACCCTATCTGTAAAAAGAAAAAAGGAAGAAGAAAAGACAATATGGCTGGGGACATTCCTTTGTTCTTTTGGCTTCAGTTCACTGTTTAAGAACTACCTCAGCCAGGTGCTGGTGGCTTACACCTGTAATTCTAGCTACTCAGGAGCCCAGAGAACCTAGAAATGGTATCCTGAAAGAGCTAAATGTGGCGGGGGGAAGGAAATGAAGCACTGTATCACCTGGGTGTCTCGACCTGAAAGATGTGTAGTAAAGCAGCTGCAGAGCCAAGGCCCATCATTTATACTAAGACAATAACTTGCTATTTTTCATGAATTTGACTTGAAAATTTATCTTAGTACTTGAAAAAGTATTGATTTCTCCAAATTTTTCCTATGTTTATGAATTGTGCACTTTAATACTATTATGAAATCCCATGATTTTTTTCTTCAAATAAATAAATACCAAAAAATAATCCCTAGTACTAGAATTTTCTAGCTTAATTTCAAGATGAACAATACCATGTAATTTACGAGACAAAAAGACTAGTTTCCTGGTCTTCACCACTAGATGGCACTAGTAATTAAAACCTTCAGTAGCTGGCCTTTTGACACTAAAGAAGGATGAAGAATCTTGTCAGAAGACTGTTAAGTGGCCTGAGAATGCCTTAAATTTCATTTCTTCTTAAAATTTTATTGTAAAGATGCTATACAGAGGGGTTACAGTTACAAGAGTAAGGCAATGAGTACATTACTTGTCAATCATTGTTACCCATTCCCTTGTGTTATCCCACTATTCCTACCCTCCCCCACCTCCCACACTACTCCTTACCCCACCTCACCCCCACCCCCCGCCCAAAGTTGTAAAGTTCATTTCCAGTATACTGTCCTGTGGGTATCCTTGTTGTAATGAGTCATCCTGTGTCCTTGTTTCAGGGTTTTCTTATTCTCCTTCCCCTCCCCAGATTAGACAAATGTATATACAAGATGCAGGGTCCCAAAATCAAGTACAGTGACAACAGGGGATATACCATAGGGAAAAGAACATACAAAGGAAACAACAACAACAACAAAATCACATGGTACACTTGAAATGGTCTTTTAATTTCATTTCTGTGAAACTGGCAACAAGGAAAAAATATAGAAACTGCTCAGAATGCATGTTCTATTAAAAACTTGATTTACTAATATGACAACTATAGGGTATTTAATAATCCAGACACACTGCTTTAAAATCACTGATTAAAAACCCCCACAAAACTCATGTGCAGTTCTTGAAGGTGCTGTGGCTGCACATCACAGTACTTTCCTAGTCCTCTCACTTTCCGTCAGGTTTACACCCTCCCATCTCTATGTAGTGTTTTGTAGATTCAGTCTTATGTTAATTCTGGAACCTAGATTCAGAGTTTAAATAACATACTCAAGGCCAACCAGCTAATGGTAGAATTCAGAAGTTTACTCTTTCCTTGCTTTATAAGAGTTTCCTACACACAGAACACCTAGACCTGACTTGACAGTGTTACCTAAAGCATACTTGACTGACACAGTTGTCAATATCACATCTTAGGTGGGTCAAATAACCTAAAAGTTTGGACACTTACTAATAGTTGCTCCTTTGCCTCTATAACCACTTCTAGAAGTCACTGTCAATGGCTTCTGAAATGAAACTAGGAAACTCATCCTTTTGTGTGCTCCAGCAATTTGAGTTGACTAGAACTGGTTAGGTTCATGCCAAGGCATGAATTAGTTCAAATTTAGACTTGTTTCTCTGCATCAACAGTTCATATGATTTGTTTATATATATGAAACATCTATGTATGTCTTACTATAATTTTTTTCACTAAGAACTATCCAAACTAGAATAGATTTATTATATTAAGTGCTCTGGATATGCAGTCTCGGCTCTAATGAATAACTGTTTTAGCCAATAATTTGTTTCTGAAAGTATTAAATGATGGCAATGACTGTTGTGCTCTTATGTAGTCAGACTTCACTTAGGACCTCCTCTCAGCAGGTGCTGCTTCAGCTTGTTACCTTTGGGCTCCTACTCTAGCTAGCTATTGCATATCATAGCAAAACAGACATCTAGTTTGCTTATCCAGTGAGGCAAAAAAAAAGTCAGTAGTAAATTGGTGACTCTTGGCAATAGTGTCCTCAGTGCCTTAAGGCTATAGCCCTATACTCTCTTTTCTAGCCCTGACCTAACATTCAGCTACTTTGTGCTTCTAGAAAAATAACTGCGTGATGCCTGAGGATGTGAAAAACTTTTACCTAATGACCAATGGCTTCCATATGACGTGGAATGTGAAGCTAGACGGTGAGTTGGCCTCCTTGCTGTGGAAGACATATTTCCTGGAGGAGAGTTTGGATGGAACAATTCTGTGAGGGCCCTTTCAACTTTTCAGTCTTTGAATTTAGACAGCTTTGTTAGTGTTTCTCAGGTGCCACATCCAGGTTTGTCTCCCAAACCTAACATACCATCAGTGCTTTACTTCTTACCATCCTGTTCCAGTGACTAGATGAGTATTATCATCTGGAAGCTCAAATTAGAGGACTCCTATTGGAATAAGATGGAGCAAAATATTAGTTCCTACACAAAGAACCCAACCAACTCAAACTTAAAGCCTTGAGTACTACTGTTTGGAGCAAACTTCTCTGGGTAAGAAATATATATCCCCTAGACTCCTTCCTTTATTCTCATTATTGTGAAGACTTCAGGTCTGAAAAGCAGGACCTTTCCTCTCTTTCTATATCACCTTAGCCTAAGTGACCATCCTCCTTAGTTTGTAAGCTATCATCTTGGCTAAGTGTGTCTAGCCCAAAATATTTGCATTGGAGGCATAGGAACTTAAACTTTGCACATGTTACAATTTGTGAGTGCTATGTAGACATGAAATGCTCTTATAAATATTCATAAGCTAGGAAATCTTGTCCTGTCTGGGGTTCAGCCTATTCATGGCACAAACTTACCAGCACTTTTCTCTGTCAGCCCTTATTGCCTCCAAGTCCAATGACATCTGCAGATCTCCTTTGGCTTTTGGAAACTTGAATACTTCCCCACTGCTATCCCTGAGAAAGAGTGACGTCTGGTGCACAGCAGGCCTACAGAGCTGATGACTTCTCATCTTCATGCCTCTGTTTCCTGCCTATATATCTGAGTTCCTGTGTGTGTGTGTGCGATTCCCAAAGCCTTCCTACCTCTTCTGTAACTGACATTAGTGTGTAGTTAAATCTTTTCCTTTAATGGCCTAGAAACTATCTGTCACTAGCATCAGTACCCTGTTCTATAGTATAGCCATCAACTTTGGAATCTGGAGCAACAGACAAGGGACAGAGACTAGACTGACACTCCTTTTTCCATATCAGGCCGTTCCTTTCAGGAGTCTGCTGCAGAGATGTTTCATGAATATTTTCATGAATGAGTCCCTGTTGATTATAAAAATATGTTATATAATTTAATGTTTGCAGTCTTGGTCTTTATTCCTATTACCATACCCATTCTTTACTGTGTAGTTCAAATCAGTGATAGAAAAGGCATAAGAAACCTCAGATAAACTTTAGCAGTCTTTTCTCCTTGATTCCATGATCTATATACCAGCTGTTTCATTGCCTTCAAACATAATAGTTTTTTTCAGACATCAGATTTCTAAGACTTTGTTTGCCACCCTGTGTCCATCATCCTATTTAACAATGGTTCTGTATAATTCCAACATAAAGGAAAATATGCAGTCTTACTGTTCCTTACTTAAAGCACAAATGTAGAATTGATCAAGAAGGCTGCCAGGTTGTCTCCAGATAGTAAGAGAAAATGACCAGTTAGAGGTAGAGATTTTCCAACATGAAGGTGTATAAAAAGAAGAGAAAAGGCCCACTGTAAAATGAAAGCTGTTACTCATTTGTAAAGTGTTATTCTCCATGTAAAATGTGGACTAAAACAATGGAAAGAAAAAGCAAAAATATTTTAAGCCATTTACTCTTCAAATAGCATTCCTAAATCCAGACTTCATAGTTCTGAGTACCTTTTAAAATTATTTTTGACTGAACCATGATAAATAGGTAGTATTCATCACTTCTGGCCCCTAGTTCCTTTTTGTTCTCATGAAAGGCTTATGCATTGGGGCATGGAATGAGTGATCCTCCTCTATCTCTCTCTGATTCCTCAGTCATGGACCAAACAGTCCCTGGGCTTATATGGTTCAAGCAGAAATCTTCATGATGACTATGGTAACTAAGCTTTTATATCAGTCTTTTTATGTTCCCACAGAGCACATCATTCCCTTGGGCAGCATGACAATTAACAGCATCTCCAAACTGACTCAGCTCAACCACTCTTCCATGTACTCACTTCCTAATGCACCAACTCTGGCAGACCTGGAGGATGATACACAGGAAGGTACCTAGCAGAAATTCTTTTGGGGGTTAGATATAACCAGCTTATTTCAGAACCACAGAAGAGGCTTATAGCAGCTTCTCAGAGCACTGAAACTAAATTTTTTTTTAAAGCCTATATCAATAAGGGAAATTTTCTTGAAGGAATGTCAGGGTTGGCATCCATATTTTGTTTCCTATACCCAGTTCAGTGTCTGGTACATAGTGTATTTGGTGAATGAACAAATGTAGATTAAACCACACAACAATTCAATGTCAGGAGTTTTCAGTTTCTTGTATAGAACTAAATTATGGAGCTAAAATTACTATTTTCTTCTTGGCTCTTGTCCAGAGTTCACTCATCAACTTAAAGGCTTCCTCTGGATATTAGCCAATGACCCTTTCACAGTATAGCAGCACTTTTAAAACAAGAAAATTTCTTCCTAGTGCCTGCAAATCTTTTTTTTTAGCGTCTGATTTATAATTTTTTGTATATATTTTATTGTAAAAATACTGTACAGAGGGGTTACAGTTACATGAGTAAGGTAATGAGTACATTTCCTATGGAGCATTGTTACCTCCTCCTTTGTTTTTCCCCTACCATCCCTTCCCTCCCCACCACCCGAACTCCTCCCTCCCCCCACCCAGAAGTTCTAAAGTTTGTTTTCAACATAGTGACTTGTACACCTGATTGTTACAATAGGTCAACCTGTATCCTGTATCAGCATTTTGTTATTTCCCTTCCCCTCCCCAAGTTAGAAAAATGTATATACAAGATGGAGGGCAACAGAATCAAATAACAGTGAAAACAGGGGTTATACCATGGGGGAAGAACATACAGAAGAAACAAAAATAATCACATAGTACATTATAAGTACATTAAAAACAACAGCTACAAAGATAAAACCTCTTGTGTCCCTATCTTGAGGTTCATTTCACTTATCATCATCTTATATGGTCATATGTACAAGCTTTCTGTTTTTCCTAGACATATACTAGTTATTGCAAATAAGGGAAACCATGAGACCTGTTTCTTTGGACCTGGCAAGTCTTTCCATTTCCTAACAAATGAGGAGGTATCATTCTTTCTGATGGAGGCATAGAATTCCATTGTGTATATATACCACATTTTCTTGATCCATTCATCTACTGAGGAACATCTGGGTTGGTTCCAAATCTTAGCTATGGTAAATAATGCTGTTATAAACACAGTTGTGTTGGTAGCTTTAGTATAGTCTTGTTTGTGATTGTTTGGGTAAATGCCCAAAAGTAGGATTGCTGGGTCATAGGGGAGCTCTATGTGGAGTCTTTTGAGGAACCTCCATACTGTTTTCCAAAGTGGTTGAACAAGTTTACACTCCCACCAACAAACTGCAGATCTTTTTAATGTAATCAAAGGAAAGATTACCTATCATTTCTACAGGTCCTGACCACTCTTGAGAGGAGAGACTTAGTTGAGGTATATGCACCAGGGGGAAATAACTTTGGGGGTCATTGTAGAGTTTTGTGTGCCCCATTTAGTTAGGGAAAAAATGGCTTATATTTTCGAGAGTAAGAAAGCCATATTGATTTAACCACATAATCAAAAAACAAAGGAAGGTAACATTTGCCAATCTATCTTAACACAAATAGAATGGTTCTTGGAGAGATTAGATTTATTTAAAAATGAATAACAGAATTTCAGGCTGAGAAGCATAGGCTATATAACAAGTCAAGAATATATCCAGAAAAGTCCAGGTAAGAAGGGAATTCCCTTTGGAGTTCATTGGTATCAGAAAGTCATTGCAGAAGTTGGTGTTAGCCTATTAGTGGAAGTCTTTAAGAATGTCTACGATAAATCTTGATAAAGAAAAATACATGCAGAATGAGCAGGGTGTAAAAGCAGAATATGATATGAAATTCATATCAAATGTGAAGGAATGTCTTGTGAGGTTTAGGAAGTTCTTACATCATTTAGGCACAAGCTTGATGCTCTACTCCTTCATAACCTGCCTGCTCTGTTGTTTCTGTGTGGACAAAATAATTACTTTAGTGTCAACAGCTTTTGCATTAAACTACCCTACACCAAAGAAAAATGGAAGAAAATAAGGCAGATCAGTTATTATAGTCATTCTTTAAAAGGTATAGATTAATATAAAAAGCAAAACGTGTATTATGTTTTTCAACATACTTAAGCTGATCAGGAGACCTTTCTCTTCTGGTAATAATGGCAGATATGTAAATCAGATCAATCTTCTTGCTGAACAGTAGAAAGCTGGTTAAGATTTAAAAATCGTATTCCTAAGTTTAGCATCAGAAGTAATAAGATCTAATATCAGGTTAACATTCTGAATGAGAAATCCAGGGAAGATGCTTAAAAAGTGAAGTTGCTTTTGCCTAGGGTACATTAATATATATTGAATAAACCTATGAACAGGCCAGGAAAAAAATGAAGAAACCAAAAAATATCATAATGAAATTGCTCAAAGTGAGGGAAAAAGAAAATCTTAGAAGCATCTGAAGGGAAAAGACAAGTTACAAAGACAAAGAGTAATAACTCAAAGTGAGATCAACTACTCGAAGAAAATAATTGTCAGCCTTACTCTATACCCCGTAAAAATATCTTTCAAATACGAGGAGCTTTTTATGAAAAAGCAGTCTGGCAACATGCATTCTACTTTAGGAAATCTGTCCCATATATTAAAAGTACCAGAACATAAGGATATATGCAGAGTTTATTTTAGCACTCATAGTAAAGTACTAATAAGGTGAATGTGTATATTGATAAAGAAATAGGGGAGTAAATTAAGAGTAAGCCATTTCTGCCAACTATCAAGCAACCACTAAAATGAATCAGTTACATTCCAAGACTTAGGGGACTTTCTATTACGCAGAAAACATGTGTATGCATATGTGTGTATGTGTGTGTGAGTATATATGATAGCCCATTTTTATAAAACAGTCCCCAAAAAGGAAAAGTATGACTATATCACCCCATTCAGATTTCTCTGCCTTCATGTAGTTCCAGTCCAAAGTAGTTTACTTTATGCAAGCTTCCCAGATTTCCTGACATTGTCTGTTGGTGAAGGAGAAACACAGACAAATAGGCCTAATCCATCCTAAATCCAGGGCATTTAGAGTATGGAGTATTTCCAATATAATACTTGAGAAATATGACTGAAGTCTGTGCCATTGGCTCACACCTATAATCCTAGCTATGTAGTAGGTTGAGATCTGAAAGTTGAGGTTTGGAGCCAACCTGGGCAGATAAATCCAAGAGACTCTTATCATTAGTTAACCAACAAAAAGCCAGAACTGGAAATGTGGGTCAAGTAGTATAGGTCCAGCTATGAGTAAAAATGTGAGGCTCTGAGTTTAAGCCCAGTACCAGCAAAAATATGAAATAATCCTCCTCACTGTGTTTTTCTAGTCAGGGGTATATAGATCTGTGTTTGAGTTTGTTTTAACATTACCATTAACTTCTGGGTTGCAGCCAATGAAGACCAACCAGAAAAGCCTCACTTTGACTCTCGCAGTGTGATATTTGAGCTGGATTCATGCAGTGGGAACGGGAAGGTTTGCCTTGTTTACAAGAATGGGAAACCAGGTAAGGATCATTTTATAGTTTGGGTGTAACATTGCCTGATTTTGCTTGTCAGCTTGTCACAAAAGGCACACAACTTTCTGACCTCCTGAGAAGCCATCAGGTAGGAGCCACAAATCCTTTTTGGTCCTCTCTAAGTATTCCTCACTAGATTAATTTCTTTTTTTTTTTTTGGTCGGTCATGGGGCTTGAATTCTGGGCTTGGGCGCTGTCCCTCAGCTCTTCAGCTCAAGGTAAGCGCTCTACTGCTTGAGCTATAGCACCACTTCCAACTAAATTAATTTCTAAGCCATCTTATGTAACTGTAAAACAGTCAATAGGATTAGATAATAGTCTTTACTATGAGCAATAGTCCTTTTAAAGACTCCATAGGCTCATATATTAGCTAATCATACAGAAAACATGTTATCTTCTGTAGTTCTCTAAGCAGGTTAACAACAGCTTCAAACAATCTGAGTTTCTAGGTTGTTCCCAATGGAAGTCAGGAAAAGAGGGGAGTCATGTGGTAGTTACTAAGGCTTTGTATTCTTCAGCAGCAACTTCTACCTGGCTCCCTAAAAGCAGTTCAGGTCTAGGGACTATGGAACTATGGAGGTGGACCAGGCCATACCCTAATCAGGTAGCTCTGATGGTGTAAGAAGGTACAGACCTCAGGATTACCCTTGAGGGAAGGAGAGATCTTCTGTTGGAAGAATCTTAACAAAATAGCCTTTCAGCTAAACCTTGTACTGTGGTCGGAATTATATATGGAAGAAGGAGTAAAATGAGCATCCAAGCAAAGCTACAAATGTGTAAAAGCCATGCACACACATAGAAAACTTGTGTACTTTTGAAAATATAACTGAGCTGGGGGAATGGTAAGTATAATTCAGTGAGCTACACACTTCACCTAAAGCATGAAGTAATTACACTAGACTCATGCTGAGTCTGAAGACCAGGTAGTCTAATAGGGTTCTTTAGCAGGATTTACATGGAAATGTAATAAAAGCAGTTTTGAAGAAGGAAAGGACTGGGTAATTGAGGCTCCTTAGGGAGATGTTATAGCTATGTAGATAGCAGATCAGCAGGGTTAGGCTTGAAGTGATCAGAATGGAAGGTCTGAACAGGTGTGAAGCAGGAGCTGGTCTGAGAGCCCGTTGGCTCAACCAGGATATTCCACAACATATCAGGCAGTATACCCAAGAGTGAACTGGGCTTCTTTATAGACATCTTTCAAGCAATTTGGATTCCTGAAAGACTTCTCAGAAAAGGTCTGAATCATTCAGTTTCCATAGGAAAAGCTGCAAGCATAGTAGATACCTACTGAGGGAGGGGAATGCCGAGTACTCACAGAATAGGGGCTTGAGTTTAGGGTCTTAATGTTCCTCCCGATAGTCAGAGGACAGCAGATAGATCCTTTGTAAGACTATAAAATAAACTGTCAAAAAGCAACCACTGGAAAATGGGACTGTAAGTTGGCAGAAAAAAGAAACTTAGGATTTTCTTTTACTGTGAGTGCCTATTAACTTTATAATAGACAAAAAGTGCTAAAGTGTTTATTTCCTGTATTACTTTAGGATTCGCACGAGATACTGAAATCTGGTTCCTGGACAGAGCATTATACTGGCATTTTCTCACAGATACCTTTACTGCATATTATCGCCTGCTCATCACCCACCTGGGCCTGCCACAGTGGCAGTATGCCTTCACCAGCTATGGCATTAGCCCACAAGCCAAGGTAAAAGAGAGCCTGTCATCTCAAAATGTAATATGTATCAAAATCTTTGGAGAAAAGGGTTTCAGAAAATGCCCATTCCCTAACTTCCCTATATTATTCCTCTGATATCCCAGTATCCTTCCCTAGGGGCAGCTATAGCTACTAGTTTGTGTACCTTTCCAAGAAACTCTTTGCATGTAAAGCATAAGTGCATATTTTTTGGTGCCTGTTTAATAGATATTTGAGGCTGACCACCATCTGAAACACATGCCAGGAAATCAGACTGACATACACCAGGTATTGCCAGAAGAACTTTTGACTGGAGTGTGCTGTTCTAGGCTCTTTCATAGTGGCTTACAACACTAAATTAGCAAGAAAATAAGGACTCCATTCCAATGCACCCTTTTTGTGTGTTCATCAAACAGGCTTCATTTTCCTCAAATGTCACATGACATCTTCTATCTGGTCAGTTTTGTGAGATAGCTGTGATCCAAGAAAGGCCAATATGTAGATACCCTTTGTCCTCAGTGCAACCTGGAAAGTTAGTAGGGAAAAGAATACCAGCATTGGCAACTTCCCTCAGTAAAAACCCACATTAGCATCTGGAGGAAGGGTACTGTCTAAATGACCCTAATAGGAACCAGCTACTTTGAAGACAGGATGCTCTTTCCCCTGGTAGGCCCACTAGATTCTAAGGGTTCTTCTCATACTTTATTTTAAAGGCAGTGATGCCTCATAAAATATGTATCTAATCAAGGGTTAATGCAGTCTGATATCACTTTCTCTTAATTTTAAGAGCTAATAGAGTTTGCAGACAGATTTTCATAAAAAATTTATACAAGTAGTTGAATATCTTTTAACTGAAATGTTTGGAGCCAGAAGTGAGGTTTTGTGTTTTTCAGACTTTTAATATTTGTATATAATATACTGGTTGTTGCTCAGCTTATATTGTCTTCTCCTTTTCTTTCCTACCTCTGTACCCTTCGCTCCATTACAGAATACAAAAAATGACATTTCTTCGTTAGTGACTCTGTTTCTCAATTCTGCCTTACAGCAATGGTTCAGCATGTATAAACCTATCACATACAACACAGATCTGCTCACAGAAGACACCGACTCCTTTGTGAACAAGTTGGATCCCAGCAAAGTGTTTATGAGCAAGGACAAGGCCTTAATCCCAAAGAAGAAAGGACCTGTGCAGCCTTCAGGTGGCCAGAAAGGACCCTCAGCAACTTCTACCTCTAAATCTTCCTCAGGAAATTCCATCCGAAAATGAACACACCTGCCCTTAACTCTTGCACTAGCCCCACAGCAGTGATTTCCATGTACAGATGGTGTCATCGGTAGCCCCAACCTTAGATTCTTACATGTAAATATAGGCATCTTCCTGACAGAGTCCTAGCCTTTTACTCCCAATGACATTCAGTCAGGAATTGGAAGGACATACTGAGTAAGTCCCTAGTCACAAGTGACTATCTAAACTTACATGAAAAATTCATATCTTCACTTGAATTAGCCACATTTCAAGTAGTCATGTGGCTAGTAGATTGTGTATTGGATTGCATTCTGTTCTAGAAAGTTCTTGGGGACAACACAACATTCGAATACTTTAGAATATTTTCATGCTACTGCTCCTCAGATTATTAATCCTTCCCCATCATCACCTCATTTTACTTATTTTTAGTAGTTTTTTTCAGCCAGTACTGGGGCTTGAACTCAGGGCCTGGGAGTTCTCCCTGAGCTCTTCTGCTCAAGGCTAGAGCTCTACCACTTGAGCCACAGCTCTACTTCCAGTTTTTTGTTGTTGTTGTTGTTGTTAATTGGAGATAAGTCTCAGAATTTTCTTGGCTTCAAACTGTGATGGTCAGATCTCAGCCTTCTGAATACCTAGGATTACAGCTGTGAGCCACTGGCACTCAGCTTTTGTTTAGTTTCTTATAAAAGGTTGGTTTCCTGATCAGTTTTGTGTTGTGATATTCACACATTTTGCCAAAAATGCTTCTGCTATGCTTTTATTTTACTCTGCAGAACTCTTCATGAAGAGGTTTTGATGAAGCCAGTCACTGCTTACAAAACTTTCTACCTGTTCTGCCTGTTTATATACCTCTGAGTTGTCTAGCCCCACCCTGTCTGATCCACGGCCTTCTTTAAAACAGGCAGTCCCCTAACTTAGAACAAGGTGAGGGTTCCCCAGTCCTTTGTAAGTTTCCTGATATTTAGAAATCATTTTCCCATAGGCACATAGGTCCTACATTCCTGCCAGCCCACATATATCTAACATTAGACACATGATAAATCTGAATTTACCTACTACTTCTAATGGGGTTTCTGTAGAGAAAATTGCTCAGGTTTTAATTAGGACTATCTAGATCCTCATTCTGCAGCTCCAACCAGGGGCAGAGTCACTTCTCCAATCCTAAGATCCTTGAATGGATGTATTTTGAACTGAAATCCCAGAGGTCAGAGTTCTGAAGGGCAGGGCAATAAATGACACATTCCAGTGTCATTTGGGTCTCTCAACCAGTTTGTCTAATCTTCCTTCCTTTGCACTGCGTTTCCCTGTTAATCAGTGCAGAGCTCTTCTCTCTTCCATAATCTACTAAAAGTCTCCATAATTCTTCACCTGTACTTTTGCTGTGACCCTTTGAATACTTGTGAAATTTTAAAAAAAATTTTGATTCTTAACTATAGTGATAGAGGCTCATGAAAGAATGACTTCAGTTCTTCCTACATGTACCACTTCACGATCTCTAAGGAAAACCAAGGTGAGGCATTAGCTTTCGAGGACCATGGCAAATTCTTGCTGGCTGCTTCCCTACCTCTCCCCACTTTTTTAATAGTACAAAGACTTGCAATATTGGTGTTCAAAAGTATGTTTTGAGTTTCATTTTAACAGATTTGTTCGGTTGCTTTAAAATAAATAGGATGACATGTCAACCATGCTGGTTTGCTTCTAATGGAAAATGCTGAAAACCAGGATCACTTCTTAATTTGTAGTTTCAAAACTAACCATTTATAATTCAGTCTTTTTTTTTTTTTTTTTGTCAGTCATGGGGCTTGAACTCTGGGCCTGGGAGCTGTCCCTCAGCTCTTCAGCTCAAGGCGAGTGCTCTACCATTTAAGTCACAGCGCCACTTCCAGTTTTCTGGTGGTTTATTGGAGATAAGAGTCTCATGGACTTTCCTGCCAGGCTAGCTTTGAACCAAGATCTTCAGATCTCAGCCTCCTGAGTAGCTAGGCTTTCAGGCATGAGCCACCAGCACCCAGCTAGCCTTGTCATTTTTAAATGTGTGTGGGTGGCATAAATCTATGTCAGATTTCCCCATTTAAAAAAGTATTTTAGCCCTTTTAGGTTAATTTGATTCTTACACTTCAATATTTACAAATGGCCAACAACCAAAGGGAAAACCAACCTTACCAATGTAGCATATAGCATATGACTGCTTCTTTAAGACAAGTCAAGATGAGCTGGGAATTGGGAAATCACCCTGTCTTTCATTGCAACAGATGCCTTTCCACTAGTATCACCAAGTCCATGGATGACTTCAGTTTGGGTCCAGTTCTAGATTCCACAAATGAAGCATCAGAAAAACCTGGAGAACAACAGTACCCTTCAAACCAGAGGGGATCAGTAGGGGTCTTCTAAAGGCTGTTGAAGGAAGGGACTTACGCTTGAAACCTGCCTCAGAGCACATAACAATATGCTCCAAGTAAGCCAGAACAAAAAGAAGACATGGTTTTCTTGTTCAAAAATCAAGAAAAAACTACCTTTAAAATACTAACATGTGTTTCTCCTTTGTTCCATAATCTCTTGTAACTTTTCTATTTGCTATTTAGTGCTGTTCTAAGGAAAAAATAAAACTTATGAGTCAATATGTACTTTATCATTCATTTTTATACTGTACAGTTCCAACTTAACCATTTTATCCAGACTTGACTTTAATTATGAGTAAAGTCTAGGAGAAAAAAAGATGTGAAACCCTATATTTTTCTTTTCTTTCATCCATTTCAACAAAAGTGATTGTCTAATACAAAGCACAAACATGCATAAGAAAGGCTATAGTAGGGTTCTTTGTTCATGTGTATTTCTGTCATTGCCTCTTTCTGTTTGGAATAAGTTTGGTTCAAATGGAAAGCATGGCTTCTTGGGACTCTCAGTACCCCCACACATTCACTTATACTCGTACTTGGACTTACTTTGTCTCAGAACTCTGCAGTATGTGGGTCATCTGGAACCAAGTGCTCACATGGCATCATGAAGTGTGTATGTGAATGGGGCAATAAGGAATGTTGGACACACACATAGACACATCTACTCTGTTCACGTGTGTTTTTGGTATCCTCAGACTTCTCTGGCAATGTAAGTTCAAGGATAAAATTAAGAATTTCAAGATAGAAAGTAAGCACTGGTAGTTCACACCTGAAATACTGGCTGGTTGGGTGCCTGAAATTCAGAAGATCACAGTTCAAAGCCAGCATCAGAAGAAAAGTTATTGAGATTCCCATCTCCAAAATAACCAGCAAAAATCTGGGCCTTGTGGTCAGGCTCAAGTGTTAAGTGTGGCAGCCAGGAAAGCAAACTGAAGGCTCTGAGTTTAGATCTACCAAAATAATAATGAAAGTATTTTTTCAAGACTGACTGGGACAGCAAGCCAAACGTGAGACCCATCCTTAATATGAGACTCCGACTACCTATGAAACTAGCTCCCATAAAAAAGGAAGAGAGCACTTGTGACAAAGCTTAATATGGAAACTGAATGAGTTAAATGGGAAATATCCATGAGATTTGGAAACTGATGCAAGAAAAATGACAATAGGCTCTATGAGAAATCAGCTCTCCAAAACATTGCTGCATTAAAAAAAAAAAAACCCTAGAATTAGCAAAGTGGTTCACAATACATTGATGTGGTTAAGATTATACATGAAGTGCTACATAATGCTTTTACAGGCCAAAGATAGGGATGTAAAGAGCCAGCTTGCCCATATGAAAATCCTCAGTCTCCCTTGAACCTGTACTTTCCAAATATGCACCAATGTCACTAGAATCGGATAGGATCTCACTCCAGTTCTATGTAATCACAATGCCTGGAAAAGTCCCCGGTATGATTATTAATCAACTAAAATGGTTGCAATGATGCTGAATTGGAAGCTGTGGTTTTTCTTTAATAGCATGGAGGATTCAAAACCTTTTTAATCTGATAAAGCATAAATGAATAGAAAGACCAAGAGACCTTTTGTAGTTTCTGCATAATGTATTTTTCCTAAACTTTTTATTACGGAGAATACTAAACACAAAAATGTAACTAGTCCCCTGTATCCATTATACAGTTCCAGTTATATCAGCTTATGCCTAATACTATTTTCTCTATACCCTTTGATACTCCTCAGACTTGTCTATTTTTGAATGATTCTTATTTACTGGATTTTAAGCTGTACTACTTTGCTGTGTGTCTACAATTGCTCTAAGGGTTATATGTTCCTTTTTCTCTTAATATCTCACACAAAGGTCTTTGGTAGTGTTATTTGTGTGGTATAATACTAGCCCTTTCATTATAGTTGACTGTATTCTTGATTGGTTGCAATTCACTTTGTTCATTTTCTTCCTTTAAGCTTCAATCAACCCCCCACTGTATTTTTTTTCCAGCCAAGCATTCTGATTGTGATGTGACTATTAAGTGAAAGACAAGTTAGTACCCAACACACAATCCCTTTTACCACTCTTTCATAATTGATGTATAAAACTTCCAAGCATTAACTTCTTCCTACATGACCCATCCAGCTGTGTGTTCTTAAACCATTCTTTTTCCTTCCAGACAATAACTAGCTTGTTTGTCCTGTGCCTTTGTACCTATCATTTTCCCCCGAGGTTCAGCTCTAGTTGTCCTTTACCTCAGAGCCCTAGGAAGCCAAAACCAACAGACCACTCATTGAGGTGGAATGCATGCATTGAGAATTTTTCATCTTACCTTGTACCCTCCATTTTCAATGGTTATTGAAGACTTGATGTCCTCCTGGACAGCCATTCTGCTTGCTCTAGAATCATGGAAACCATTAGTATAGTAAAGTCAGTTATACATAATTGTGAGCTAAATCAAGAACTACCCAAATACTTCAGAATAGACTCAGAAGAACAGATAACCAAACAAAGAGAAAAAAAGGTGAAAATGCTTAGGTTTGATGTTTACACAAGTAGGAAAGATAACCATTTATTTTAGAGGTAGGATACTTTAGCTCACAGACCATCTCTATAACAAAATCTCTATCAGAAAAACGCTGGCATATTGAAAAATAATACCAATGTTTTGGTGTTATAAAATATTTTCCAGACTCCTCTTTCATTCTTAAGCTATGGCTCAAAAATATCAGAAGGTACACCTTAATGTGTGGTTTTTAAATGGGATCTTGTAATTATACATCCTTATATTTTCTAGAGCCCAGACTTTGCCAAATATCCAGTCCTGATAAATGCAGCAAGCTAAATGAATCTATGTAACTAGATGTTTTCAATATCTAACTACTTAGCCTTGTTTGGATGAAATTGTTATGAGCAGGCTTCCCAGATAATACGGTTAAAAGAAATGGTGACCAGCCACAGCAACATGGTAAAAAAAAAAAAAATTACAAGAAGGTAAATTCACCTCTCTTTTGGTCTTTCTACATATTTTATGCCCACAAACATAGTTGACTATCAATATCTAACCTACAATTGTCTTGATAAGGAATCTTAAAGAGCATGATTTATAACCACTTACCTTCAGGAATAATATGTGGTTTGGCCAAGTTCTCAAAATGCCATCTTTAGTCTGCAACTCTCATTCCAGGGGAGAAAAAAGAAAAAGCAATACCTGTGACTTCCAAATTTATCTTCATCTTTGAATCATGAGGATGGAGATGAGGTGGTCTTTTGAAACATTCCAAAGTCCAAGTTCAACCCAACCAACCAATTGGTCCCATTCATGGTGAACAGAGATATTGGTAGTTCTTGATGCACCCATGTGAGTCTAATCTCCACTCTTAAAGGTGGCAACCTCCACACTACAGAATTTCTATGCTTCAGAGGCTGCATATTCAAAATATTGTTCCAAGTGGAACTTTTCTTACTTAGCTGTGAGCAAGAAATTAACCATGATTCTTCTAAGGTTTTGCTTGCTAAAACTAATAAGCATAGATTTATTCTGGTCACTTCCTCCTACATTCAACTTTTTATTCTAAAGAAACAACTCTCAGCCACCAGAGGGCATCACTGTATTTGTTCACTAAACTGGTGGGGGTGAGGGGGAGCAGGAAGAGGGGCGCAGGAGCAGCTTCTCATAGTTTCATTATCTTATGTGATGCACACATTCCATGTCTATATTCAGTGTCAAGGCACCAAGGCAATGCCCTAATAAACCACTGAACCATGTGTGGAATATTGCATGTTAGAACCATAAGGGAAATGAATATTAATACCCTAAATGGTGCTTTCAGTGGGGGGAAGGAATGGTAATCTACAAACAGACCTTTTAAAGTTTCAGGCCTTCCTGGGGTGCTCACATCCATCAGGCATCATTTCACAAATGGCTTCTTGAAAGAGTGCTGACCAAAAGGAGCAAACACAGTTGCAGGAGCCTGGATTGTGATTATCTTTGTTCTGTATTGTATAGGAACTATTACACACTATAAATCACAACCCTAGAGGCAGAGGCACAGAAAGCATAATTTTCTACCCTCCTAAAGCACTTTCTACTATGATTCTTTTCCTTGATTTTGGAAGCAGAGATTTTTTTTTATGAGGAATCTTGTTGCCTTCGGCTAAGAGGCTTCTTTCTGTGAAGGTCCCCCCCAGAATCCTCTTTGGGCCCATTGAGCCCTCATCAAAACTGCAATTGTTGAGAACCCTGATATTCACAATGCCGGCCTCTCTAGCCACTGTAGTTTCTCATCCTGTGTACATGAGAGCCAAGTATTAAATGTGTGATCCAGAAGTGCTCTTTCTGTAGACAAAGTATTAAATCTGTACTTTGTTTTATAGTAATTTAGTGTATGTTTTTTGGAGGATGGATTTTTTTACATGAAAGGCAAGAAAGTGAGTGACAGAAGACATCAGGTCTGTGAAAAGCTAACCTTTCTTATGAGTTAAAGCTAATTATAACATTTTGGTATCACAACAAACCTCTGGGTCAGGAAATATATATTAGTTAATAAGTAGATAAGGTGTCCTACAGCAAACACATGTGCTTAATTAAATCAGGAGTGGCATAGAACACATTGCTGGCCCTATTCACTTTATCACCGTATCAACAAAATATAAACCAAAGGAACTAAAGATCATTCCAAGTCAAGGTCCTTCTGAAGAGATGAAGAGACCTTGCTGATTTGGAAGGATGTGAGCCTACATAGCTCTTCCAGGTTCTATGCCTAAGAGAATAAACATTTCTCATTGTGACATTAAACTCTTTATTTAGTATTTGAAACATGGTGTACATTTATGAATTTGTATAAACATTTAGTACATCGAAAATCCAGAACTTGTAAACAATCTGTGCCTTCTTTTGTGTACAAGGTTGGAGTGTACATCTGGATGTTTTGGTGTTATGGAGATCCAGTCTGTGAATCTAAACAAATTGCCTCATATTCTCATAACAACTGTGACAGAAGTGATTTGTTCCTGAAAAGGGCTGTTCCTTCCCAGAAAAGGTGTCCCACTTCAGAATTAATAAACCAGGTATCAAGAAAACAAAAGAAACACAGCTGACATGATGAAAAGTGGATAGGAAGGAGAGATTCCTGGAGATCCATGCCAATGTAGAGCAGGCAACACAAGCCACGTGGTGACACCTAGAAATGGGTACTCCCCACTGCTAAGTGGATGGTCCTCTGTCTAGCACACTGAAGAGTCATAGTTGCATCTCAGAGGTGCTGACCAGGCCCAGGGCTCTGGCTTCTTCTGGAGTCAGACCATTCTTGAGGGTTCTTCTTACTACAGTAATACCGCATGTGAGAGAAAGAAGAGAGAGGGAGGGAGAGGAGAGAGGGAGGGAGAGGAGAGAGAGAGAGGGGAGGTATTAGCAGAAGGCTTATAATCATCAAGCTACCAGTTCCCCCTTTTCCCCAAGACCTACCTCCATGGAATCTCAAGGACACTGTCCCTTCCTGCTCTTGCTGAAATGTCCTGGCTATCAGTCTGCCAGAGTTAAAAAAATTAGGGAGATACAGCAGGCTGATCTAATGGTGCTGTCCTGAAAGTAGAAAGCCTTGTAGGGGAGAGTTTCTGAGAACTGGATGCAAACTGCAGCAGTGCAGATGGCATATGGAGACCTCAACTTCTGACTAACATATCAGAGTGGGAGTATCAGCTGGAAAAGTTATTAGGGCATAGGAAAACCAATTGCTGATGACCCAAATGAGGCAAATAACTAATGCATAGTGAGGGTGTCCTACAAGACCCAATAATCCAACCAATCTATGGGCTGATCAATGATAGATAGGGACATGACCCAGAATTTGGTACCTCTGCAAAGCCAAGTGTTAGCAGAGCCTAGAGCAAGGGAAAAAAGTCAAAGACCATTATGGGAGTTTCCGTCTCACCTCATTAAAGGGTCCTTAGGGACAATGATTAAAATAATCAGTGATTCATCATGGGTGACAAGGAGAAAACTACCAAACTCTTAGGCAGATGTTCTCTATAAAACACACAAGGTAAATGTATATACAATACACAGGGTACCAAAATAAAATGGGATAAACCATAGGGGAAAAAAGAATGAGAGAAAAAAGAAATGACTTCACATAGTACATTAAAAACAACAACAAAGGAAAAACCTCATTTCCATATCTTGGAGTTCATTTAGCTTAGCATCATCTTATATGGTCATATGTACATAGCTATTGAGCTATTGTGATCCTCTTCTATCTTAGACATATACTAATTATTACAATTATCCTCTTCTATCCTAGACATATGCTAATTATTACAAATGAGGGAAACCATGGACGGAGTCTGTTTCTATGGGTTTGGCTTACTTAATCTGAGGGAAAGTTGGAGAAAAACAAGGGAGGGTATAACAATGTTCGCCACTATGTATGTGTATGGTACTCACTACTATACATATGTAACTGTAACCCCTCTGTACATCACCTTGACAATAAAATTAAATTAAAAAGAAAACACACATAAGGTCAGTGACTGGCACACTGCCTTCATTAGGGGTCATTACTGGAAACTGAAAGGATGTTTGTTTTTAATTAGTGAGTGCAGAGCTATTGGCTGGTATTTATCTTGGAAATATGTTTTCCCCCAACAGTTTGGTATTGATCAATTTTATGTCAAAATAAAGACCGGATAAGGATAAATGAGGAAGCAGCTGCCTTTCCCCTTATGTTCGAGAGGTTAACTAATCATATTTCCCTTAATCTAAAATTTTATTTGGCCTATTGTATATTTTCTTGAAAAATAGAGTTTGGGGTATTTATTTTATCATCAAAAGATGTTTATCATGGATCTACTTTCCATAATCCCAAATCAGTAAGTTCTTGAGATGATCAGGACAGGTCTTTATCAAAGCATTGAGAAAAGGTCATCCTTCCTGTCCTTCCATTTCTCTTACCCAATCCAATCTCCCTTACTCTCTCCTGGGTGGTCAAGCCCTCACCTCACAGAATTGTAAGCCACACCCAACAATCTATTCTTTCCCATCAACCCTTGAACCAAAGCAAATTTAGCTTATAGCAAAAGATCTAAAAGATCTAAGCTCATGACAAAGTGAACAGACTAACATCTATTAATAAACAGCTTCTTTCCCAGAAATCAGCACTTTGAACAGGGGCAGTTATGACTTCCCTAGGAAATGTTCTGCACAAGTTCATGTGGTAAAGGATAGGTCTCTTGCTAATTTTGCTATTTGGGGGAGGTTCTGGTAACTTTAGGAGGTGGGACCTAGCTGGATAAATAAGTCACTGGGTGGATCTTTGGTCGTATATTGTCCCTGGCCCCTTCATATCTATCTCTGCTTCCTGTCTACTATGAAGAAACTTTCAGCACACATTCCCACCACCATGATATTCTGCCCAAGTGAATCAGACCAAGCAGCCATGAGCTGAGCCCTCTGTAACTATGACTCAAATCTTTCCTCCCTTGAGTTATGTCAGATATTTTGTTATAGAAATGCAAAAGTATGGGGCCAACATCTTATCTACCTACTATGTCATCAACTTTTAAACTCAAAGAATGAAAACATCCGTGAAATACTCAGACATTAACTATGCATTATTTTTTCAGCAGATACATGGAACTGGCATGAGAGGTACCCTCAAGCCATGCTACTCTACTCTTCTGTATTTCTAAGCCTAGCTTTGGGCCTCAGACCAATCTATTAGCAGTTCTTCTTGGCTAGCTCACCTTCCTCTCACCCCTTGCCTTGGACTCCGACTGAGTGTCTAACTCAACCAGACAAAATCTTTGGCTCTAGAGTCTTGGCTAGAGGCAGACTGCATTTAATTGAGTAATGGAATTCTTTCTATGGAGCAGCAAATACTAGCTTGTAATATTTCCTTATGCTCTTTTAAATCTATAAAGTATAATAGAAAGATAACTTTTAAGAGCTGTAAGGTCCACCCTGTTTAACTTATATAACAATAGCATAAAATAAGATTTTAAAGAATCTCTTATTCTCAGTAAAGAAGGCTTGCTAAGGCCTCTTCACCAATATACAAAATACTGCCAGAAGTCCACTATATAGCAGGGTGTCTCAGGCTTCATTAGCAATGGAAGGTCCATGACATGTGTCTGAGGACCGTAATCTATGTATATGTAAGTATATGTTGTTCAGGGAGTGACTACACAAGCCTTCACAGATTAGTGGGCATTTTGCCCATGAAGTTGTTCAAAGCTGCTTCATTATTAACCATTGCTCTAGTCCTATAACTGTTATATTCAGTTCATGTAAATACTTGAATATGGTCCCAGGTAACTTAAAGCCCGTGTCATACTCTGCTAATAGATATGGGCCTTAAGCCAGTCTATCTAACAGACTAGAAGAACAGAACAAAGGTAATAAAATGGTCCACATAGGCCTTTCCACCTGACTGCATAGGGGCTGGGCCTTCACCTGTGTGCCTGTGCACAGCTTTAATACTTAGGAGCTTCCCTTTCTCTTTCAGCTTGGGCTCAAGGGTCCTCTGCTATGCAGAAAGTCAGTGTAGTTCCCATTGCTTAACAACTAGGATCCAGAAGAGAATTTATAGCAAAGTATCTGTGCATTTATGGAATCCTACCTGAAAGTCTGCAGACTTCCATGACAATACCCATAAGACCTCTTAGAAAGACATTAGTGCTATGAAAAAGATAGACTCCTTCCTTTATTGAAGAATCAAAGTTAATTCACATTACCACTTGGAAGGACATAAGAAATGAAAGTGATGGACTGAAATCACTTTGGATATTCCAATGCAAATAAGGGCCTCATCAATTCATTTATTATTATGATGTTTTGGGTATCTACCCCAAGCTAAGTACTACAGCTAGAGGCTTTGGGTTGGGAAGCAGAGACTGAATAAGGAAACAGGGTGAGGAGAAATGTTCTGGACAATAGAACATTCCAGACAGAAAACTGGCTCTCATTCAGAAAGCTTCCAGAAAGAAAGGAGGAAAGGAAAAAAACAGAAGCTGCAGAATATGTATTTATACAAACCTGCAACAGAAATAACTCTTCCATCAGATAGAGCGGCTTCTCATGGCTCCATCTTTCCTCCTTAGGCCTGACTGGTCTCCAGACGCTTGCCCCTATGCTGCTAGATAGAGAAAGGGCTGGAAAGGTTGATCCCAGTCTCTTTGAAGCTCCTCCATACACATTATGGGTCACTCTACTGAGGCTAACTGCCTTTCTGTGCCCAGTCACTTGTGATAGCTCTCACCACGCCAGGGTGACCGCGGGGACCATGGTGAGGATGAGAGGCAGATCAGACATGAGGCATCACCCCTGACAATGTGTGGCCTAGACCTGTTCAGGGATCCAGGGGAAAAACGAGTTCTTTTATCGCCACCACCCACCAGCTTAGAAATGAAGGGGAGTTTTAAATCCAATGAAGTACTCCCAGGTGACTTTGTTAAAGTGGTGGTGGTGATATTTGTCATTTGCTGAGTGTTTATATAAGCTTTTTAATCTTTATAGAAACCTTTGAGATGGGTACTGTTCTTGTTCCAGTATATGAGCTCAAGGAGATCAAATCACTGGCCCAAGAATACACACTAGGTAAAGGATTTGAATAGGATGTTGGGGTCACAGCTCTTACAGAAATAGCTGAACCCTACTAAGGCTCACCCTTTCTGATAACCTTTCATACCAAGGAAAAGTTGACTGATCTTTATGTCCACATGATAGAAATCTGTTTCTTTCACCTTTAAATTACTGACAGGTTTGTTTTCCTTTGTTGCATACAATGTCAAATATTATTTGGAAATAACTTATAGGTGGTATCCTTAATATTATAAAGATTTCATACTGGGTGTACTGTAAACGTGTGTCCAGGATCACAGAGCCTGATAAAGAACTTAAAGATGCCTTAAAACAGTTTTTGTATATCTTGTGGACAAAAGGCAACTGGCAAACTGCTATTCAAAACTACACCCCTGGGGCTGGGAAGGTGGCTCAGTGGTAGAGCACTTGCCTTGCATGCCTGAGGCCCTGGGTTCGATTCCTCAGCACCACATAAGCAAAAAG